AATAAAAAAATAAATTAAAGAAATTACATAAAAAATAGAACTTTTAAATAGTTGATTTGATATTAGCATTGATATTTTTTTTTCAAATTTTTATAATATTTTCAAATTTATATTTGTATTCAAAAATAAAATCATTATTGTTTTTTTAAAAAACACATAAAATCGTATTATAACATCGACATAGACAAATAATAAAATAGAACATTAAAATCGAGATGTGTCTCGCTGCATTGCACGAGTACTCTTCTAGTTGTTTTATAAAGTGTGTTCTTATAGTACACTTCTAAAAAATGTCATATAAAAAACTAATAAGATTTTTTCGTCTCTGAAATGTCCTAAAAAACTTGTTAGGATATCCAAACACGTCTTAACATCGTATTGTAAAACACCTTTCTATATATGGTGCATAATTGTCTAATGCTATAAAACCGAGTTCTAAAAAACAATCTATTAAGACATCTAAACGTTTGTGACATCCTATATATAAAGTCGATTATATTATGGTGCCATAAATTAGAATACACAATACCAATATATATATATATATATGTGTGTGTGTGTGTGTGTGTGTGTGTGTGTGTTAAGAAGATCAAAGAGTTTGTATGCATTAAGATCAATACCTGTCTAGAATCACGTACGTTGCTCCAAAATCCCTAGCAGCCTGAACCGTGAACTGTTTCAAGGAATTTCCTGCCTCTGCTGATGTATCGAAATCAATCTGATAAACCGCATCAAACCAATTGTTCATATTTTCATGCACCAACAAGCATTAATGTTCAAAAAACCATCTATTAGCATAAACAAAATTTGTTTCAAACAGTAACAAAATGTATGTTGGTTCTTATTTGGTGTAACAAAAAATAAATAAGTTATAATTTTTTTATTCAGTACCCATTTTGATTAACAATTTGCTGACTTTGTAACATTTGATGATGCAGATGTCAAGTTGTCAAAAAATATTTTTTTAACCAATAACCTATGATCGACCATTATAACTTGAAAACTGGCATACATGCATCAAACATTACAAGATTAATAAAAAAAAATTAAGTATATAATATTTATATACGGTAAATAAAACAAATACACTCACGCATTCTTTTCATTTTTTGGGAGATTTGAACCCTTGACCTCTTAGGAGGCTAAAGACTCACATACTGCTAGGCCAAAGTCCCTTTGGTTACAAGATTAATAAGTTGTCGGACAAAATAGGTACGAAATAGGGAGTTCTAATTTTTTTTTTTGCCATTTTGAATCCGATTATTGGGACTTGAAGTCGTAATAGTAACTTTATAATGTTTAGAATAAATGATGTTGATAAGGATGGAGAGTCTTACCCGGTAAGTTGTTGTATAAGATATGTTTTGATGTACTACAATCTTACCCAATAAAAATAAATTATAGTGTTGACTCCTAACGTTAAGCACTTACCGGGTAATCATTTAGGTAAACGGCCCTTTAATCAATTAATTGTTACAACTGAAACATACCTCAACACTCTCTTGCACCATATTATATTACAGTTTATTTTTTGATTGAAATGTCACATCGAAATACATATCCAAATATTCCCCGTAGTCAATTTTATTGTAGTCGGTGTCAAATGACCCTTAAGTAATGAGTTACATTTAAATAATGAGTTAATTGTAAGCAAAGTCTCCCTGTGTAGACATAATACTTAGGTACTTACGTTCAAAATTCATGCAGATCCAAACACCAGATAAAAAAGAAGCGTATAATTTTCACCTCTATGGAAAAAAAAACGAATAACGTTAATTATATTAAAAAATAAACCTGTTTAGATTCGGCAAGCCGAAGAATATGCTCGATCTCTAGATTCGTTCGAGACTCTTCTTGCTTCTCTATGATTTCTCGTTCTATGCTTTCTTGTCTCTTTAAAATCGTCCCACTTGGATTAATTCCATTTCCCCCTGAAATTCAAAAGAAAACTTTAACATAAGTTTCAAAACGTGAATGATGATACAAGACTTCCAACGAATCAAAGAAAACAAACTAAGCATATTCATAGCCGATACATGAATTTACTGAGGCCTCAACCCACAATCTAAGGTTGTAGAGATTCAATGATACCGACAAACCCAAACACGAGTTCAGGATTAGTAAAGGTTTAAATAAACTGATCCACATATACACAGTTATCTGAAATTACTTACCTTTTTGGTTACTGATTGAAGTTGAAGGGTTTAAGAAGCACATCCCACATCCTGAGTTAATTGGAGGATCTACCATGAAGGGTTGCACCACCCTAAATAGCCTAATCATGTCTCCAGGTCCAAGTTGGAGGTTCATTAAAGCCCATCTTACTGCCTCCAAGCGTACACGTGTCGATGCATCTTGAACAACCACAATCCTATCAACTACCCCTTCTTCTCTTTGGGGCATCTCTTCACTTTGATTTTTGATCAAGTTCACAATGTTGAACATTGCATTCTATATATAACTGCTTTTCATCAGCCAGCTTTCAGGAAATGCAGTTACAGCCCCTCATGTTTTGGATAATTCTACTTTGGCCCCATAATTAATCTTATAAATTTAAAGTGTCTTATTAAGTGCTACACCTAGGGACGGTACATGCAGGAGTCATTACTCTTACTTGCCTTTTCAGATATTATTTTTTGGCTATTAAAATGAATTATTTGTAAAGGGTTGTTTGTTTACCTCTTAATAATTCCATCAAGAGACAACATCTGAATCGTTAAGAGTTGAATCTTGTTTGGTAAAAAAAAAGTCTGTCTATTAATGGTTCTAAAATTCTCTGAGTGATTTTGCATCATTGCGTCCCTAAACCATTCAGCGCCATAATTTCATTGTAAACAATTATCAAACAATTACATTTCATTTTGCACTATATCATGAAAGTCTTTAATCATTCTACACAAAACCATTCAACAACTACCAAACAGTTCCTAAACCTCCCTTACACAGTAATCGTTAACCAGGTAATAGTCTTTTCCTCAGTTACCAAGTAAGATTTTTCTGTCCTTGTTATGCCTGTTACACTGGATAAGATTTTCAGTCTCTTACATGCTCATTCGGTAAAATAAGTAACACTCGGTAAATATTTAGTAAACAACCCCTTACTATTTTGTTGTAGAGATATTGTAAATACTCTCTATACTGCACTAGTTCTTCATGTTTAGGTGGAGTTATCGAAAACTTGAAAGACGGAGGTTGTAAATGGAATTAGACAAAACAATAGGGGGTTGTATGTAAATTGTTACGAGTCTTTCTAGGAGTAATGTTGTGTCTTTTTCCAAACTTAAAAAGTTTGGTGGAGAATATGCAAATATCCAAATTTGTGGTCACTTATCACTAAGCTTCAAATTAATTTGTTATCTTTGTTAGTTTTGGACTCTTTAACGTCGAACAGAGCAATGGATGTTGTTTGTCGGTATATGTTTATTTCCATCTCAATATACAAGACATAACTTTTGGACTATTTTGTTAATTAATTGACCGAATATCGAAAAACTATAGTTATTTACGTATTTCATATATAACACATGATATACGTAATATGTGTGTGTATGTACACACATGTAAACATAATCAAATAAGAACAATAAAAAAAACACTACTTTTAGGGGCCGTTTATTAAACACTTACTTGGTAAGTGCTTACCGGATAAATTTCATTATCGGATGAACATGAGAAAGGGCAAGAATCTTGCCGGATAATAGCAATGAAAAAGGATAGAGAGTCTTACCCGGTAAGTAAGGATGACGACTCTTACCCAGGTAAGCACTTATCCAGTAGCTTGTTGCATTTGATATGTTTTGATGTACTAAAATCTTACGTATCAAAATAAATTATAATGGTGAATTTTATCGGTAAACACTTACCGGGTAAGCATTTCGGTAAACGGCCCCTTAGTTTTGATGTAATTTATCTTTCTATAGATAAATCAAGTACCTATCCGTCGATATGATTAATATTTAATATTATGAGTGCATATATATATATATATATATATAGAGAGAGAGAGAGAGAGAGAGAGAGTTCGTTTCAAATACAACTCATTGCATTTGTACAACCAATGCAACCCAATAAATTGAAATATTTATGAAAATGATGAGAGTTCATTTATTATGATTTGAATATTTATGAAAGATGAATATGGTTCATTAATTATGATCAGTACTTTATATTAGAAAACAATTAAAACTTCTATGAAATCACATATTAATAAAATGAAATAGACGGTTGAGATTGGGTTGTATTGGTTGCACAAATGTCAAAGGTTGTATAATAACCAACCTATATATATATATATATATATATGTATATATATAGGGTATATTTCTTTTACAACCTTGTGCATTTGTACAACCTTTGCAACCCAATTAATTGAGATATTTATAGAAATGATTGGAGTTCATTTATTAT